TTTGAAGCCAACGGTTACCTACCCATCGATGGGTACAAGCTTCCCATCGCTGGGTGGGAGGTTGACTTCCAAACAAGGAAAGAATCAACCTTAAATGACTTCCAACGGTCATGCCTTCCCATCGATGGTTTATCCTTCCCATCGCTGGTTTCCCATCGATGGGTAAAGCTTCCCATCGCTGGGTAAGGGCATTCTTCCTTGTGATAATATTGGACCAAGGCTTGAACAGCGATGGGTAGAGCTTCCCATCGCTGTTTGGCATGGTTCTGGAAGTTGGTTTGGCTAAGGGGCTACTTACCCATCGATGGGATGTTCTTCCCATCGCTGGGTGGGTGGTTAGCCAAAAACCTGTGGTTTTTGCCTTAACCACGGCCTAGCCAACCGATGCAAAAACCGACCGAAAAAACCAAAGTTCTCCAAAATAACAACCAAACTTTTAAAACACTTATTTGATGTATTTGGCTAAGAAATCAAGTGAGACAATTTAAAAATCACGTCATTTGAGTAAAAACCACGGCTAGCCAAGTTTACGCCGTTTTGCGTGGTTTTTGTCAAACGACTAAAAGCGAGAGATGGTTTTCAAAGTGTTTTTGTTGGAGAACCGTTTAAACATGCCAAAGAGTGAAAGCAGATCATAAAATGCTGAAAACCACTTGGTTGGTTTGGATGCCAAAAACCAAACCCGACAACCGAAAGTCGAATGCTGGTTTCTGAAAGCCGAACACTGGATGGCTTGGTTTTTGGTTTGGGCGAACACCAAGTGTTTTTAATGACTTAAACAAGTTTAAAACCATTTTTATGATGTAAGAAATGCAATGAGAGTTTTTAGCCTAAAGAGCCAAGGTGTAAAGATTGGGTCGGTCTTGATCAGAATAAAGACCGACTCAATACTATGATTAAGGTCTTCGTTCTTGGTCTTCGTTTAGCTCTTGCTCTTATCTTCGTTCTTCGCCTTGTATATTCAATGTTCGAATTGATCACGGCGGTTTGGCATTATCAAAACCTGTTACAAAAACGAACACGGCTTTAGTACGAAAACGTGGCAAGCCCGTGTTTCAACACCCTAGAGGCAATCAAATACCTATGTAACTGTACACTTTATCATGAATGAAAGGCCTTGAAGTATGTTTCATATCTCGTGTAACATAACATAGCTTTAGTCCATAGGCGATAGCGCTTCAGTAACATAGATGAGGACTACGATGTTCTGATTTTGAGACTGTTACTTCTTGACAAAGGCTATGTCTAGAATATCCCTAGTCGCACTTTATGATAATACGAACGTCATAACGTATCAAGACTAGTACGTACGAGATGAGATAGTTGCGTCTCATAGACTATAGGTATTGTGATATCTTAATCTGTACGTAGGTGCATATTATATCGATAATATGTGACTGGATTGACCCATCTTGAGAATACTGCATGGATCTACAGTAATGTGTTTATCAGTATTCTCAAATCGACCTTGCAATAACTATGCTCAGACTTGAAGTTATTACATTCTCTGATATGTGGGGCCGTATGCTTTGATTCATAACTAATGCTATCTAAAATACTGGTAGACATACAGTTATGCGTTGAGTATGCCGCTAAGCATATTTAGAGATGTCACATGGCTTTTGTTTCTCAAATTGAATCTACAACCATTTCCGAAGCAATAAACGATGAACATTGGACCTTGGCTATGCAAGAGGAGCTAAACCAATTCAAACGGAATGACGTTTGGGAATTGGTGCCAAGGCCCGATGATCGTATGATTATTGGTACGAAATGGGTGTTCCGTAATAAACTTGATGAAAATGGAATAATCACTAGAAACAAAGCTAGGCTCGTAGCTAAAGGCTACAATCAAGAAGAAGGCATCGATTTTAAACTTTATCAAATGGATGTTAAGAGTGCATTCCTCAATGGTTTTATTCAAGAGGAAGTGTATGTTGACCAGCCCCTCGGGGTTTGAAGACTTTGAGTTTCCCGATCATGTCTTCAAACTCAAGAAAGCGCTGTACGGTCTTGAACAAGCACCCCGTGCTTGGTACGAACGTTTGAGTAAATTTCTTTTGGATAGTGGTTTCCAAAGGGGAAAGGTAGACACCACACTTTTTATCAAGAGTAAAAACAATAACATCCTTTTGGTTCAAGTTTATGTAGACGATATTATATTCGGTGCTACTAATGAGTCTTTGTGCAAGGAATTCTCAACGCTAATGACTAGCGAATTTGAAATGTCAATGATGGGCGAGCTCACATTCTTTTTGGGACTCCAAGTCAAGCAAATGAAAGATGGCACGTTCATTTGCCAAGCTAAGTATTGCAAGGAGCTCCTAAAACGATTTGAAATGGACTGTTAGCCTTGGTTTGCTAAGTCTCGTGTTTTGATGTTAACAAACAATATAAGAGTTTGACGTTTGTTTAAGTGTTTCAGGTACAACAAGAATCCATTAAGATTCGGTACTTAAGAATGAAGTCGAAACACTAAACTAGCGTAGAATATAGCTAGAAACCAATGTAAGGATATGACTTTATATACCTATATTCACAAGCTCAAAAGCACTCACAAAATATGTTTAAAACCATCCCATAAACATTTTCAAAATATCCAAAAGGTTTAAAACTCAAACGTGAAGGATTACGGGAATTTTGGAAAAAGCAGGACAGTGGCACGGTACCCCTAGCGGTACCCCAAACGGTAGGGTATACCGCCTACACGGTACCCCAATACCGTGTAACGGTACCCAGGTAGCGTACGGTAGGCTACCCCGTCCTAACCCGGTACCGCCAGAGGCGAAAACTTATTTTGGCCTATACGGTACCCCCACACGGTAGGCCGTACCGTGTCACAGTACCTAGGTACCGGATGACACGGACCCCCCTACCGTGAAGGGTACCGGATCCGTTACAACACTGTAGCAAAATTGCCAATTTGAATTAAATCAACCCTAATCACCTCCCAACGGCTAATTAACTACTTCCACTATAAATACAAGCCTAATCCTTCATATTTCTAAAAGAAACAAAGCTCTAAACATCCTCTCTTTTTATTCTAAGTGTGTTCATCCTTTTATTAATTATTTTCAATATTTTGGCTATTTTAAGAGCCTTAAATTCCTGATTTTTTTACACACACTTTGAGCTTGTGTTTCTAGTTATATACTCTCATATTCATAAGTTTGAATTGTATTTTTGAGAGAGTATACTTTCCTTCTACACCGGCTAAGTTTTGTTCTTCATTTTTATATTCAAGCCGTTGTGTAGAATCCTCTTTTGTGTTTTTCAAACACTTCTTTATACGGTCGAGAATAGCCGTTAAATTCTCATATTGTATCGATCGAGGATAGCTGTATGAATCCTTGGGTAAAGGTTCAAGGATAGCCTTTGAAATCCTTGGGGGAACGGTAGAAGATAGCCGTTAAATCTTCATTGTAAACGGTTCGAGATAGCCGTTGTGAAATCTCGGAGTGAATCCTATTGGCAAGGGTTGTTTGCAAAAACTAGTGCGGTGCTTTGACGGAGTTCAAGAGGCTGGGACTTAGTGGATTCGGAAATCCTTGAGGAGGAGCCTCGAGGTACTCGAGTAGGGGTTTCCCGAACCAGTATAAAATCGGTGTGCATTTTATTTACGCTTTTATTTCTGCATTTTATATATTGCTTCCGCATTTGCCAACACTGTTTTTATCAAACTCCGAAAAGATTTTAAACGCCTTATTCACCCCCCTCTAAGGCGTGGGCACAACGACTAAACCGACCTACATGGACAACGCCAAAGCCATGGCGACCCCAATGAGCACGTCTGACCATCTTGACAAAGACGAGAAAGGTATGGAAGTAGAAGTCAAAAAGTATCGAGGTATGATTGGATCCCTTCTCTATCTTACCGCTAGTAGGCCGGATATTATGTTTAGCGTATGCCTTTGCGCAAGGTATCAATCGTGTACGAAGGAATCGCACTTAACGGCGGTAAAACGGATCATGAAATACCTTGCCGGCACGGTTAACGTTGGACTGTGCTATCCAAAAGGCTCTTCTTATCATCTCGTTGGCTATTCCGACTCAGACTTTTCCGGTTGCAAATTGGATCGTAAAAGTACAAGTGGGACTTGCCACTTACTTGGTAGCTCTTTAGTTTCATGGTTTAGCAAGAAACAAGTTAGTGTTGTGTTATCCACAACCGAAGCGGAATATGTAGCCACCGGTAGTTGTTGTGCTCAAATCCTTTGGATGAAGCAACAACTCGTGGATTATGGCCTTAGTATCAATCACGTCCCTCTTTGTTGTGATAATACTAACGCCATAAGCTTGACGAAGAACCCCGTTCTTCACTCAAGGACGAAACACATTGACATTAGGCATCATTTCACTAGAGATCATGTTCTCAAAGGTGATGTCGAAATTGAGTTTGTTGAAACACACAACCAATTAGCCGACATTTTCACAAAACCTTTAGAGAAAGAGTCATTCTTCCGCATTCGAAGTGAACTCGGAATCCTTGACTCCACGATGATCTAAGTTGTGCATCTAAACTTATTAAACGTTTACTAACTTGAGCGTCGGAGAATTTTTTCTTTTTCTTGTAGGTACCCCGTTCATGAAATCAGGGGGAACCAGGCAAAAAGCGCTGTCCAGGAGACCCAATAGCGCTGTTGAGAGAAACAACGTCAACCAAAAAAAAGTTTGCCAACAGCGCTGTCCTAGGGAGTTCCCTTTCCCTTATACCTTGTTTTCAAACAAAACCAGAAAGTTTTCCAACAGCGCTGTCCACCTTTGCAACAGCGCTGTCCACTTTTACAAATTTTTCCTCTATCGTAAAACAACGATGTAGAGAAACCCAACATCGCTGTTCTAATGGGTTCAAACCCTTACACAATTCCAGAAACTTTTGGAACATCGCTGTAGGGTACTTAAAATCGCTGTCCTTTTGACTCCTGTTTTTTTTAACTTGATGCAGAACAGCGCTGTACAAGGCACAACAGCGATGTCGCCTGTAGAACATCGCTATTTAGTAAAAATTTTCAAAAAAATACCCGTTGGCATGGGCATTAATTACTCCAACAGCCATTGTTTTTTGAATTTTGAACATTGGAACTCTCTTCTCCTATATATTGGAGCCTTCTCTCCTCACTTCTCCACACACAAACACAAATCTCTTCATTCCCTTGCATATTTTTGTCTTCTCTAATCTTTGTTTTAGAATTCTTCATCATGGGCAAAGATATGAACAGGGCAGGAGCTTCCAGCAAATACAAAGCCAAATCCCAGGCACCGGCAATCAACTCCGAGGAGCGCCTCTACTATGGCGACGGATCGTACCTCTGGTACGATTTCGAGGAAGAGCGCACCCGCTTTCTCACTTTCTTCTCTAAACGGGTTGTGGCTCCCCCACGGATCATCCCGGAGCGCTACCCGGAGCTGCAGGGCTACGACGACCTCGACGCGCACCTTCATCAAGCCGGCCTTTGGCCATTCGTCTCCCGGGCTCGGAAGGAGATCAACCCGGCGCTGGTTCGGGTCATCTACTCCAACCTCCGGCGTGAGGGCAACGTGCTCTACTCTCTTGTCAAGAGGACGCCGATAGAGCTTTCCGTTGAGCAGCTTGGGCGCATCGCCGGCCTCCCCTACCAAGGCAACGACGTCTCCCACTATGGCGGAGAGGACTGGGTTCTCAACAACGAGGGCCTTATCCTCAACGAGCTTGGCGTCACCGAGCTCATCCGCCATGCCTCGGGCTGCCCCACCATCCACTCCACTAACCCCGAAGGCCGTCTCGTTCTCTACATCGTGTCCCGGATCATCAAACCCCAGAAGCACGACCACACAATCATGTCCGGTGAGGACCTCAAGCTCATCCATGCGATCATGCACTCGGCCCCAATCAATTGGGCAAAGTTTGTCATGATCAACATGACGATTACCGCGTCCACCGACCACGATCACCTCCTCCCGTACCCGTTCGTGGTGATGGACATCCTTGAACGGTTCAAGGTGACCACCACTGTTTGCCCACTCACGAAGGCCATGAAGATTTGGGCGATCAGCACCCAAACCTTCAAAAAGCGGTAGGACAACGCCGGACCTGCCACTGCCACTGCCGCGCCACGGCGCCGTTCGGCTGCTAGCCCAGCCGAACCCCAGGCCCGGGCCAACCTTGCCTCTATTGCCGACTCCCTTAACCGGCTTCGCTTCAAAGTTGACAGGATGGATGGCTACCTTGAGCGGCTCAACGAGGCTGTTCAACGCCAAGGGCACGCCATGAACGCATACTTCCAATGCGTCAACTACGTCCCCCCACCGTACCAAGGCACGTTCTTTGGGCAAGTGTACGGTGACGAGGACGAAGAGTGTTAGAATAAGTTCCCTTCACTAGAGGGGGGATGAATAGTGAGGCACGAGAATATTTATAAATTTTCGCGGAATAAAAGTCGTAGGGATAAAGTAAAGAGTGGAATAAAAAAGAGTAAAGAGAGCACACCAAGATTTACCCTGGTTCACCACAACTTGTGGCTAATCCAGCCTCCCGAGAGACTCTCTCGAGCTACACTACTTACGGGTGCTTAACAAACTGTTACAACCTGAGAACTCGAGTCCCACGAGCCTCAATACACCTGCTCGGAGATACCGCACTCCAAGACTTCAACCCGAAGGAAAATACCTTTCCTTCGTACAACCAAGGGAAACAAGCTTCCCTAAACGTGTTTACAACACTAAGAACACTCAAGAACAAGACTCTCTTTAAGAGTAGATGTTGAGTAAACTATATACGCTTAAGAACAACTCAAACTTCACAAATTGGCTCTAGAAAGCTATGGAAAATAATGTTGTTTGGATGCAATGATAATATGAATAAAGTGAAGTGAATTGATGAAAAAGCATACCCAAACGCCCCTTTTTATAGTGCCAAAATAGGCTCCAACGGACCAATACATTAAAGGGGTGATTGGCTTGATTTATGGGATTGAATAAATTTGGGATCTGCAGGATATTGGCTTCCCATCGATGTTTGGAACTTACCCATCGCTGGTAAGCCAATTTTCCTTCAGTTTTGAAGCCAACGGTTACCTACCCATCGATGGGTAGATGCTTCCCATCGCTGGGTGGGAGGTTGACTTTCAAATAAGGAAAGAATCAGCCTTAAATGACTCGCAACGGTCATGCCTAACCATCGATGGTTAAGCCTTCCCATCGTTGGGTTCCCATCGATGGGTAAAGCTTCCCATCGCTGGGTAAGGGCATTCTGCCTTGTGGTAATGTTGCACCAAGGCTTTAACAGCGATGGGTAGAACTTCCCATTGCTGTTTTGCATGGTTCTGGAAATCAGTTTCGTTGAGGGACTGCTTACCCATCGATGGGAAGATCTTCCCATCGCTGGGTGGCATGATTCTGGAATCCCGGGATCACTTACCCATGCATGGGTGAAATCTACCATCGCTGGGTAGATGGCTAGCCCAGAACCATGGCCTAGCTGACCGGCGCTGAAACCCGACCGAAAAATGCCAAGTTCTCCAAAGTAAAAACTAAGTATATAAAACACCTTTGTAATGTATTTTGATGTCAAAGCAAGCTTTTTAAGTTGAAAACCTCGTCGTTAAGGTAAAAACCACGGTTGACCAAGTCAACACCGTACACGGGTGGTTTTCACCAAAAGACAAAACCTAAAGGTGGTTTTCATGATGTTTTGAGTGGAGAACCATTTAAATTCATACAAAAACAATTCCCACACAAAAAGACTCGAAAACCACTTCATTTAAGTAAAAACCACGGCTAGCTAAGTTAATGTCGTTTCACATGGTTTTTATCAAACGACAAAAAACGAAAGGTGGTTTTTGTAGTGTTTTTGATGAAAAACTATTTAAATGTGCCCAGAAGTAAAAACCAGTCATAAAAAGTTGAAAACCATTTGGTTAGTTCGGACGCCAAAAACCAACGCCGAAACCGAATGTCGAATGCCGGTTTCTAAAACCCGAATGTCGGATGGCTTGGTTTTTGGTTTGGGCGAACACCAAGTGTTTTTAATGACCTAAACCAGTTTGAAAAACATTTTTATGATGTAAGAAATGCAATTAGAGATTTTAGCCTAAAGAGCCAAGGTGTAAAGATTGGGTCGGTCTTGATCACAATAAAGACCGACTCAATACTATGATTAAGGTCTTCGTTCTTGGTCTTCGTTTAGCTCTTGCTCTTATCTTCATTCTTCGCCTTGTATATTCAATGTTCGACTTGATCACGGCGGTTTGGCATTATCAAAACCTGTTATAAAAACGAACACGGCTTTAGTACGAAAACGTGATAAACCCGTGTTTCAACAAAGAGGATGGAGCCTTTGTCATTTTACCAAGTAAACAAGATTGGCATACATCATAAGACTCGAGGTCAAATGAATCAAGTACGCGAGAATGACGTAACTTAGATATGCGTTTCTCATTAATGTGGCCCAAACGACAACGCCAAAGGTATGTGAAATTCAAACTGTTTGGTTTGCTTCTCTTAACATCTACGTTATAAACAGTGGCTTCTAAGTCTAAGATATAAAGACCATTGGTCATCTTAGCAGTTGCATAGTAAATATAATTTCTGAAAACCGAAAGGCACTTATCTTTGATGTTAATAGAAAATCTTGCTTTGTCAAGACAGGACACAGAAATGATATTCCTGCTAATGGCAGTTACAAACAAGCAATTGTTTAAATGCAACAACAAGCCACTAGGGAGAGATAGAACATAAGTTCCTACAGCTAGCGCATTGACAAGTGCTCCGTTTCCGACCTTACGCTGGACTTCTCCCTCAGCCAAATGTCTAACTTCATGTAGATTCTATATAGAAGTACAGATGTGAGAACCACATCCGGTATCCATCACCCAAGAGGTGAAATCAGACATATTGACTTCGATAACGTAAATATCTATGTTTTTGGGCTGACCTTGGAATAGGTCTCTCAAGCGTTGTATCATAGGACACGCTTCCATGTCCGCGTGGAGCCTTTGGAGCTCTGTGGTCATACTTGCCATAATGATACACTTAACATCTCGCGCGTCGTCCTCATACTTCTTGAAAGAAGTGAGTTCGGATGCACGAGCATTTGCCTTAAGGGTCTTCGGAGGATCTGTTTCGAGGATGTAAAGTTTCCTCTCACAGTCAAGAACGATTCGGAGGTTCTTCTCCCAGTCAAGAAAGTTTTCCCCAGAGAGTTTTTGGCTCTCGAGGATATAGCGCAGGTTGATGGATTGAATGTACGTGTCATTCAATGTCATCTATAGAATGAAATTGCAAACTAGGTTATCTATCATGTTGAATAATTAATTAGGCCTTTTAATTAATTATTTCCCACTATTTTAACAAACCAACAACCCACAATGTTGATTCGTACCTAGAATTTAACTATTTATGTAGGAACATAGTTCCAACTATCGAGCCGCGCTCAGAGTTCTTGGTCTTGTGTTGGGCGAACGACAATACTACTAATGGACCAAAACACCGTTTCATCGTACATGTGATTGGCTTTGGCAAGTACCACATGCGCAACTACTTTAGTTAGGGCAAAGCCCAATTAAGTCATAGAGACCCAACTTCTGGCTGGATGAGTGAGTAAAGTAATTCGACTTGTCAGTATAGTGACCCCAACAAAAACCGACTCTGAGTCATCCATCCATTTGACCGAGACTCAGTTAAGTCTAACCCAACGACTGACAATGACCACTTTAGTGATTCCCGTGACCAGCATAACATACACGGTACTACGCTCTGCTAGGGCTGAGTACGTGACAGTGCACATTAGCCGGAAAGGTGCCGGGCACCGGAAGGCAATACAGACCTAATATTTCGAGGGATTTTATGTTTACCGATCTCACCTACGACACATGCCCCGCACGTGTCAATTTACTAGCGTTAAACATGTTGGAACACGGGTTTACGCCTACGTCATACTAAACTGTGTTCGGTTTTGTGACAGGTTTTGATAATGCCAAACCACCATGACACAACAAGGCTAAAGTGAGCAAAACCAAGGCGAAGAAAGATGGCATGATGACATGAGAACCATGAACCAAGAATCAAGAACAAAGAATTAGAATTGCATTGAGTCGGTCCTAATGTGATCAAGACCGACACAAACTTCCAAATTCAAAAATGTTTTTCATAAGTTTTTAAACATGGCTAAAAACACTTGGAGTTCACCCAAACCAAAAACCAAGTCATCCGGCGTTTGGCTTTCAGAAACCAGTGTTCGGCTTTCGGTTTTCGGCATTGGTTTTTGGCATCCGAACCAACCAAGTGGTTTTAAACTTTTTATGATTAGTTTTTACTTCTGGGCATATTTAAACAGTTCTCCAACAAAAACGCTTCAAAAACCACCTTCCGTTTTTGGTCGTTTAGTGAAAACCATGCGAAACGACACAAACTTGGTTAGCCGTGGTTTTCAACTAAATGACGTGGTTTTTGAGTTGTTTTACTTGACTTCTTAGCAAAATGCAATAAACAAATGTTTTCAACACTTGGTTTTTGTTTTGGAGAACTTACGTTTTTCACATCGGCTAACGGCATGACTAAACCAACCATGGGTCTGGCTAAACAAGCCCAACAGCGATGTTGGTGCAACCAACAACGCTGTCTGGCTTGAGTAGCTGAAAACCATGGTTTGGCGTTAAGTCTTCCAACAGCGATGTTGCATATTAGACATCGCTATTGAGCCAAGGTTGGGTTTCCAGAAACATTTGGAACAGCAATGTAGCCTTCCCTACAGCGCTGTCCAACCTAAGCCAAAAATATATTGCATTGGCAGAAAGTTTTTGGATAGCGATATTGACCCAGCAACAGCGCTGTCAGGCCAAAACTCCACCTTCAAAGTCAGACCTAAACAGCGATGTTCAAGTATTGAACATCGATGTAGGGACCTGACCATTGGAAGGGATTTAAGGCTAAAACTTTCCTTGTTTGGAAGTCAACAACCAAAACAGCGATGTAGGAGTATTGGACATCGCTGTTGGCATGACCGTTGCTTCCCAATTTTCAAAACGCAAGCCTAGAACAGCGATGTTCAAGCCTAGGACACCGCTGTCGGGATGAATTTCAGCAGATCCAAATTTAATCAAATCCCACAAATTGTGCCAATCACCCCTTAAATGTTTTGATCCATTGGATCCTATTTTTCCACTATAAAATGGGGTGTTAGGGTCTGTTTTATACATCACATTACTTCACAATCTCTACTCCTTCATTGCAAATCATTGATCCTTTAATCATAGCTTTTTTAGAGCCATTTTTTGTAAAGCTTGTGTTGTGTTTTTGAGCGTTCTTAGTTACTCATTATCCACTCTAAAAGAGAGTATTGTTCTTGAGTGTTTTTAGTGTTCTTAGAAACTTGACAAGAGAAGGTATTTCTCTTAGTTTTCGAAGGAAGGGTTGTTTCCTTCGAAGGTTCGTTGAGGTTCGTGTGACTCGAACTCTCAAGTTGTACGGGTTTGTTAAGCACCGTTAAGCTTAACGAGATAGTAGTGTAGCTCGAGAGAGTCTCTCAGGAGGCTGGATTAGCCACAAGTTGTGGTGAACCAGGGTAAAATCGGTGTGCCTCTTACTCTTCTCTTTACTTCTTGTTTGATCAAACGCTATTCACCCCCCTCTAGCGTTGGTCTATTATTCTAACAATTGGTATCGAAGCCTAACTCGCGTCTAAAGTTAACCGTTTGAGAGTAAAGCGATCATGGGTTCTTCTTCTAGAAATCTCTATGCAGGAATTGGAGAAGGTCAATCAACGTCTAGGCCACCACTCTTTGACGGCACCAACTATTCCTATTGGAATGAACGGATGAGAATCTATATCCGTTCTACCAACTTCCAACTATGGTTGGTCATCAAAAACGGAGAGGAAATCCCGATGAAGAAAGTTGACGACAAGTTGATCCCCAAGACCAAAAGATGAGTTTGATGCCAAGGACATCAAGAAGATTGAGAATTATGCAAAGGCCATCAATATGCTATATTGTGCGGTCAACCCCGATGACTACTGGAAATTCTCTTGCTGCACAACCGCCAAGGAGATGTGGGACAAGCTTGAAGTGACGTACGAAGGTACTGATCAAGTTTGTGAAGCCAAGATCGATTTTCTCACTCAAGAGTACGAAATGTTCCGAATGAAAGAAGGTGAGAAAATCAATGACATGTTCGACCGGTTCTCAAAAATCATCAACGACCTTCATGCTCTCAAAAAGACTTACGCCAACAAGGATCTCGTGAGGAAAATCCTGCGGAGTCTCACACTCGAATGGAGGTCAAAAGCCGATGCAATCTACGAGTCCATCGGAGTCTCCAATGTCACCATCGACGGGCTAAGAGGTAACCTTAAAACTTATGAATCTACTATTCTAACCCCATCTTTGGATGAACAAAAGAAGAAAGGAATAGCGCTCAAAGCAACCAAGGAGACCGTAGAGGAGGTTTCAAGCGATGATGACAACGAATTTGGACTTGTCATCAAGAAGTTCCACAAGTTCATGAAGAAGGAATTTGAGCGGAAGGGAAGGAAGCACGACGGTCCTCCGAAGTGCTACAGCTGTGGCGAGATTGGCCACATCAAGCCAAGGTGTCCAAAAGCGAAACACGGCAAGGATAAGCCCGGCTTCAAGAAGCAAAGGGATTATATCTCTTGGGGTGGCGATTCCGGTGACGAATCAACCGACCAAGAGGAGGACGAAGCTGCAAATCTCTGCCTCATGGCGCACGAAGATCAAAACGACGATGTCCAAGAGGTATGTACCATTTCTTCCGACTCCTATACTTTTGAAGAAATGCAAGAAGCACTTCATGAACTTTATGAGGAATTTGTTAGCGCTTCTAAAACAAATAAATCTTTGAAGAAACGTCTTTCCTCACTTTAAAACGATTTTGAAAAATTGGAAAAAGAAAATGAAATACTTAAACAAGAAAACAAATGTTTTGGAAAAAGAAGCGCTGACAAACCAGAAAGC